CCCCCCCCCCCTCCCCGCGACCTCAACACACCCGATACGGATTTCGCATGCGCTGCGCCGGAAGCGCACCCACCTCCGTCATGAGGCCCGCAACCCTGCTCGCCGTTTCTGCCAAGGCTGCCACAAGAGCGACGTCAATGTTCACGTCCAAGGGAGCCAGGCGGACCGAGGCGAGGCGGACGAAGTTAACCCAGGCGTAGCCCAGGTCGCGGTGCAGGATCACCTCGAAGCAGCTCGCTGTCGCCGCCGCCGCCGCCGCTGCCGTCGTTGTTGTTGTTGTTGCTGCCTGCTGCAGGAGAGATAGAGAAGGAGAGACAGAGACAGGGAGAGCCGAAAGGCAGACAGAGACAGACAGACAGGTAGACAGAGAAAGACAGAGAGACCTGATGGCGGTGTTGGTATTTGGAGCGACGAGAGCGGCCGTCTTCCGTTGTTGTGTCTGCTACTGCTGCTCTTGATATTGCTGCCTTCTTGAGGTGCGACTGCACTGCAGCGGCATCAACGCAGCGATGTGAGCGCGGCAGCGTCACGACGGCCGTGAGGACGCCCAGCCACCGGGGGGTGTCGATACGCCAACATAATGTAAAAACACGGGAACGCACACGACGTGACACCGTCAAAAAGGTTTGGAAGGCACAGGAAGAACAGGTGCATATTTGCGAGTGCGTGAAAAAGACAAGAACTAGGAAACCACACCCACAGATAAAAAGGGGGTTGGGTCGGTAAGGGTGCTTTTTCGAAACCAACCTGACTTCGTACGTACAAGGTGGGGAACAGATGGATTGATCGGACGTGGGAACAGGGTGAGTCAGTCGAATGAGGTTCGCATGGACCATAGGACCTGCCCAGTCGAACCGCGATACCTAACCCCAACCGAACCCTTACGTAGATCTCCTGGTAGATAGTGGCAACAATGTGTTTACACGTTTACACCGGCGGACTTCGACAGCACCAACAATCCTCCGCGCCCGACTCTCTGCTGCACAACCAACACGCACACCGTTGCGCAAGCAGGGCTAGAGGCTACGCCCGGACAGGAGGCTATTATAGCTATTTGTACAGCGAAGTAGGCCAGCAGTGCTGCTCATATGTTAGATATCTACTGCTGTAAGCACCTGGCCGCCGCCAACGCCGCCAACGCCCCCGCCGTTGTCTCGCTCCCTCACGTCCTCCCTCCCCGCGGTGCCAAAGCCCGAAGAGCCGATGCCGCCTATGTCGAACATAGCCGCGAACGGCACCGCAGCCGGCGTCGCCGGGGTCGCCGCCGACGCTGAAGGGTGCCGCCTCACGGCCGCGTGCCGCGGGGGAAGGGCCTCGACGATCGGGTAGAGGAGTCCGGGGTAAGGGGTCACCACTAGTTGGTTGTCGATCTGGGTTTTTTACCAGTAGGCATCACGATGAAAAGAGAGAGGGGGGG